ACTCAAAGTTTTAAAAAAAGTTAAATCTGCAGAGGTGTATAAATATTAAATTTGGGGGGTATGAAAATTGGGTCCCTATAAATATTTAGAAATATGTTGTTACACATTTTAAAACAAACCATATTTCTAATATTATTATGTAATTATGAAAATACAGTATACTTACTAATTAAAACAATGAAAGTTATTATTACATACCGTCCGCGATTAAGGATTTTAGATAGCGTTCCCCTGTAATTTTGACCAATCAAAATTTAGGATCTGATATAATGTGATAGCTGATAGTCAAAACAAACGTATTTTGTTTTCTAAGTAAAAAAGTTGCGCATAAAATAAAGCTAAGAAAACCGCGTTATATTTAGGCTTTGGATCAGAAAACTGCAGTGCATAGCACTAAAATTTCACAAGGAAAAATTTTAATTAGGCCGCAGAAGGTGGATTTCTAATTAAATTTAGAGCTATTGTTTTTTTGTAAAAATGGATCGTTTCGATTTCACGTTACACCTGACGCTTATCGAATACTACAGATATTATTGCTACGCATTCAATAGCTATATATTATGTGTCGTGTGCGCCATCAAGGCTAAATACAATAAATAATAAAAGCCCAAAGTTTGGTTTCCCTCACATAGTCACATATCTACATACTCACTATATTAGAATGCAATCAAACTTAGTATTTATATATGAAGGGTATTTATTATCGTTCACAATATGCCAATAGAGTTACAAGGTAGATAATTAACAATATAGATGATTTAGCATTTATTTTGAAAGAATATTTTTTCCAAAAATTATCTTTCATTTCTCAACTGAGGGGTTCAATATACGAATTATGTGTGAAGATTTGAAGAAAATTGGTAAATACAACATTATCCTTTCGATCATCAGCAGATAAAGGTGCATTATTTGGACGATCAATAATTGCTGTTTGAAATTCTGCATTATTTGCTGCATTTATCTCTAGGTGAGTTATTAACAAGGACTTAAGTATAATGGAATGCACAAAAAAATAAATAATAATAATCATAGTCAAATTTACCTTTCACATTATCGCTCAGAAATAAAATTTCTTTCGGTTCTACCCCGATATGTTTAGCAATGTTTAGGTAACTATCCTTTTCAAGTTTAGAACCAATTGTTGTATCAAAATAACCTGAAAAATGCTAATAAATATTCGAATATTAGAAGTTTCCAGATTACATGACTGTTATTAACACTTGATAATTAAGTCTACCTTTAATAAATCTCCTTTATCTGAATGTCCAAATAATAATTTTTGGGCGGCCACACTTCCAGAAGAATAAATAAATATCTTTATTCCGGAATCTTTCCATTGATTTATTGCTTCAATTACATCATCATATACTCTACAAAAATGAATTTTCGAAATCCTATAAATAAATTTTTTTTGAAACAATTAAAAATTTAAAGCAGTCAACTCTCTATACTGAACCAGCAAATTTTGTCCGGCATAGAGTGAATTCAGGGTTCCACTTTATACCAAATGTTCGGTATATAAAATTAGTCAGTAGTACTGTATGTAGCACACGTGAAATATTCGGTATGTAAAATTTATAACTTCTCTGATCATGTGGCGCCAAAAGTTTTGCGTCACATGAAAGAATTTTATCTTTAGATATCTCTAACAGTAAGTTATTTTGGAATCTTTTTTTTTTTTAATTTATCTAAACCCAATTACAATTAATCCTAAATTATGCGCAAGAGTCACATTTGCCAATACTTCGATGCATTACATTACTTTTAATAATTCTAATTAAAATCTAATAGAGATTTAACTAAGTAAAAACATCATTAACAAGAACTCGGGCGTCTTATTTTAAAGATATCTGACTATTCTACAAGGTTTTATGATTCAAAAATATCTTCAATCACTAAACTTGGGAAGATCCTCATCTTGATACGCTCATTTTTAATAATTTACTGTATATTAAAAAGTGAAGTCAAAAAAAATTTTATTCTGTTACAAACAAACGTATCTAAAGGAGGACCTAGCCAATTTCATGATTAAGAATAGTTTTAAATCGCAAAAACTTATACAATATTCAAACGCTTTTAAATAAAGTTATCTTGGTTCTTGTCAATAGGTATCTTCATTTAAGGTTTAAATCACTATTTGATTTTTTAACTAAGGCGATTAAAAATTAATGCATCAAGAGTAATCGATATTAATCGTATTGGTTAGATAAAATAACTTACCGTTAAAGAAATATCCTTTTTTTCATGTAATGCAAAATGTTTGATCACTACCGTATACTTATAATACATTAACGTTCTCTAGTTCGTGTTCGGTATAGGTAGAGTTGACTGTATAAACAAACATACACTGTTTCCAATTCTCCGGAAGCAAACCCTGATTTCCAAATGTACCCTTGGAATGATTTAAGGGCACCAATTTTTCTGTCGAATGACATTTGCCATTCAATATTTTGAATTATAGATTTTTTTACTTCATCGATGTTACTAATAAAAGAATGGTAACATTAATTCTTTATAGAACTGAAATGCTTTCCAATCATTTAAGGATTTTTCTTACTCGGCTGTTTCTTCAGGAATTAAATTGGCTCCAACTAGTCCTTCGTTCACATCTTTCGTTGCCTGTAAAGAGAATCATGTTAATTTAAAAGTAAATTATAGCAAGACTTGTTTGACATCAAATTAGTAATCTCCATATTTTTTGTATTGCTCAAGTTATCTGTATATTGCTTACCTGCTCACGTAGCAGTTGTATCTTTTCTTTCATTTCTTTGTCTGACCAATTCTCATCCAAAAATTTTACTAAATTTTTTTTAACATATGGAAACTTTAATTATATTAAAAAAGTCTCGAATGTAATTAATATTTTCTAGACAATTAACTCCTTCAAGGAACATTTTCTTTTAAATACAGTCTTTTATAAATACAGTGTTTTGTCCAAACTCACAGAATCTTAAAATAACGGGAGGAAATTAACAGAAATCAATCAAATTAAAATTTTCGCTTTACAGTATAGTTAGTAATCGAATTAAAATTTTCGTTTTACAGTATAGTTCGTAATCGAATTAAAAAAAAACATTCAATTCGCTTAGTTTTTAATTTTCCTCCATTTTATCGAAATGCACCTTAGAAAGAGTTGAGTTATATAAATAAATTCAATGATTACCAATTTTTCATGAACAAATGAAATTGGTGTAGTGGTTCCCTCGATATCTAATAAGGCAACTTTGTAAGAAGGCTTCATTTTGTTCTTTAAGATTCACGAAAAACAGTTGAACGTTTTATCACCGCCTTTTTTTTTTTTTTTATAAATACGTAACCAAGATAATCAGTGGCATATCTATCTGATTGGCAACAGGAAGATCCAGGTCGGAATCGTTATCGGTTGAGTCGAAATTAACAAAATTTTTACTGATAAAATTCTTTTGCGAAAACCTTGAATAATTGATTTCACTCTAACATGCCTAGCTGATAATTTTACTATAGATGTAGTCAGTTAGTATTGGCCAGATCCGATGAATTCTACCAAAATCTGAAAGGTCAATTTATGTCAATTAACAAATAGCATTATTGTTTATCGCATTTTATACGTGTCGCAGAACTTTAAATAAAATACTGTATCCTGAAAAACTACCTTCCGATACCATATTATGTCCAAAAGATATTTAGAGTCGGCCAATACTAGAATTGATGTTAACTATCGTATTTAAATATTTATAAAACAATTTTGAGATTTTTTTAAAATAAGCTGTACGTTATTCAAATCTTAAACTTGATTTAATTTTGTTTTAAATTTTGTATTATATAAATGAAGAATACTAAAGCACCAATGGTATGAAAATTTAAAAGAGGTCAGATATAAAGGTTCGAATTTCATTAGCATAAAGTTTTTAGGGGTTCTGAACAATTTTGAGATACACCACGTAAACTCCTTTTGCCTATAAGAAAATCACCTAAAGTTTAGATCCGGTTTTATTTTTCATATATTAAACCGGTTTTAATCTGTTTTAACATATGAAAGATAAAACCGGTTCCAAACTCCAACTATCACGTAAAATCGACTTTTAATATCAGGTGACTAAATTTGCCGATTAGCCAATCAAACTGAGCAAATCAACACGGATTAGCCCGACTAGACGGAATATTTCGGAATTGAACTAGTTGATAACGATAATTAAATCGTTTAGTTGTTTAAATTTTTTTAAATCAAAGTTGTCACTAGTTGATTTCAACTAAACGATTTGGACCACCATACTATCGCCTTAGTTACATTGAATTTGACTACCAACCCAGTGATTATACGTATCAAGGTTAGATCTTATTAGATCTTAATTCAGAATTTAAAAACATTTATTTATTTTATCATTTTCTTGCAGTATAAGAGACACCATTAATAAAATATATTATTAATCAATTGATTGATAAAGGTAGTTACAGGAATTTCGATACACATTCACGTGATATAATAACTTTCAAATATGGTAAAATATATTTAATATATTAATAAACGCGTTACTGGTCTGATACAAATATAACGGTATATATTATAAAAATAATTAAATGAAATCCAATTATAGATTCATAAAAATAAAATAGCACCATTTCCAAGTTTATGTAATTCTTCGTTTCTTTTTGTAACACCTGAATGAGACCCTTGACTATCACTACTCACTTTCAATCCATATCCATAAGTATCTTTTGTTTTTTCAAGATGATCCAATACAATAGGAAATACAGCCTTGTCAGCATCATTTCCCCACCAACAATCTAAATGTCCATAACCTTCTATTTCACGTGCCGAGTATAAGTCAGGATTATCTCCGAGATCGATTAAAGTGCTATAAGATTTTCTTGTTGATTTTACATCAAAGCTGGAGACAAATAATTACAATTAGAGGAAGAATATTTTAGATGAGCTATAATAGTAATAATAATAAAATAACAGTTCAACAAATCGGTAATTTACTTACACAACATTCTTGTCACCATGGATCATTAGGATAGGAATGTTCAAGTTTTTCTTTATATTCTCTTCAGTAACGTAGTTAGTTCGTTTTTTATAAGTTATGAGCTTTTGAGCAGACGTAATCTTCATCATATGATCCATTGTAGTTAGATTAACTGTTCCAAAAAATTCATCTTGATGATCATGAATTTTTTGATTTAAGTGTTCGTGTTGATATAAGGTTCCATAACATAATGATGCACGATGACATAATGCACTGTCACAGAGTTGATTTTTTGGAAAAGGATAAAATCGAAGACCTTGATTAATGAAACGATCTAAAAGTTTAGTATCAGATGATGTTCGGACATCAAAAAGATCTTGTCGAAGTACATAACGATAAATTGGAAGAAGTTGGGCATTTCGTTTGATCATGTTTACGAATCCGTTAACTGGGTTAAGTGCCTGTATGATACATGAATAACATGAATAGTTAATAAATAAAAATACAATTTATCGTACTACGATATAAATTTATCATATAGCATAAAGATATTACCACTTGACTTGTAACCAAAGATCCAACACCTTCAATTGTTCCATCTAAAAGTCCCATGAGTAAGGAAATACTTCCAAGACAATGTGCGATTACTGCAATTTTATCACATTTGGTGGCTTCACGCACGTAATCAACAGCAACCTTTTGATCAAGTCTTACATCATCCAACGTAAACTGTTTATAACATTCACTATTTGTTGGGGATAATCGAGAGTCATTCAACCATACATCATATCCATTCTCCAACAAATAATCTAAAAAGGTGTGTTCAACCAAATTTGTTGCCCACATTTCATAGGACATAGCAGCTCCGTGTATCTAATTAACATGCAAATTATGAAAATTTAATATTAACTAGCATACGGTATGAAATATAAAGGAATGGGTTAAAAAATAAAAAAAATTTTTTTTACCAAAAGCACGGGTCCTTTAGATCCACCTTCAAATCTATGAATCACAGTTTTAACTTTATCAGTAGATTCTATAATATATGATTTTTTTTCAGGTCTATGTTTATGGTAAAATGGTTTGGCGATTGGAAACTTTTTTGGATACACCAAGGGTCTAAATCTTGTAAAAGCATGATCGGCTACTACACCAAAAAAGTATGTTAAAAATTTAAATAATGCAGTGTCTTTTTTGCGCCAGTTAGATCCAGTTGCCTAGATAATCGAATATGAATTAATTTGCATTTGAAGGTTAGCATAAGTGAACTTATAATAACTGTCACGGCTAATGCTAACATTGATAGACGCCAAAATTTTGACACATTATATCTTTTTTAAAGGTTAGATTAGGATTTAAAATTGTTAATAAAAAATTATGATACAAATAGAAGCTTCAAGTTTTAGTTAGCATCAGCTAATTCAGCGTTAGCCATGACAATAACTGATTTTTTGTGACAAGGTTAACATACCTTGAAAGTACGAATCTGTTTAAAAAAATCAGAAACAGATATACGTAAAATTCCTCTTCCCATTACTTTTCGATCAATGTCTACAACATTCGACATTTCATCACCATTTTTATATTCATATATAGTAGCATATATTGTTGTTGTTTCTGCATATGCATTATGTACGGAAGTATTAGTTAATAACTTGAATCCCATAAACCGAAATTTTTTTCCATTCGTGGCCAGTAAAGTCAAGTTATACATCAAGTGTTTTGAATCAACTTGTTCTTCGTTTTTGACAAAGAGTCGGAACTTTCCTTTGATTATTATAAGTGGATCAGGTGATAAGGCACGACAACATAAAGTACCATTGATCTCCGCTGAATGATCTTCCATATTGACAAGTGATTTTGCATCATTTGCGATTATAGTTAAAAGAAAATGCATTGTCGATTCTGAAGATTTTGCTTGTACTGAAAAAAAAAATTAATAATATATTTTTTAACATATATATATATTAATGAAATACATCATATACTGTATTTAAACTACGAATGCTGCTTGAAATCAAACTTACGTTCAGCAGCCTGATAATCCTCAGATAAGATTTCAGTAGAAAAATATCCTTTTAAAGATTCAGTAAACATAATACCACCTTCATCAGGCACAACAGTTTGTGGTGTAATTTCACGATATGATCTCAAAGGATTCTTCCAATCAATCTTCTCCTTAACAAGTTCATAATTAATTACCCAACCTCGGTCTTTGGCAGCGAGATCCATAATTCTCTCTGCCAAACAACTAATTGTCAGGAATGGATTGACGGCAAGTGCTGTTGGCATTATAGAACCGTCACATATATAAAAGTTTTGATAAACAGCTGTTCCTGTGCCTGTATAAACCTAATTAAAAGAAGTGAAATTGATAAAATGTATAGTAACTGTAAGTAACTGTAATTTTGTGATTCAAAATAATAATAATAATAATAATAATAAACTACAAACCTGTCCTTTGTGATTTACGACACCTGATTTACCATCTTTTCCCATACAACATCCACCAAGTGGATGAACAGTAATTAATTTACATCCCATAGCTCTTACCCAAATAGGTGAAGCAACATAATCCCCATTAACGTTGGTTGTAGCACGTGATAATCTTTCATTCAATCTTTTAACCATTTCGGTTTCACCGACACCTTCATATTCAATCTTAACTTTATTATTCACCAATTGTATTCTTCCAGTATTATCATCATGAGACATTATTAAATAAGTTTGAGTATTTGCCATTGCACCTTGATAACTCGAAAGAGAAGAGATTTCTCTTAAGAATTTAGAAAAAGATTCACCAAAAGTAATATCGGTAGGTTTATCTTTATCGCGAACATCAGTAGTTTTAAGCAAAGTTTTTAGAATTGTGGCTAAAGCTGCGGGACATACACCTTCTTCGATAACATAACCATCATATACAGAATCACCAGAGTGACGCATATCAATTATTCCTGTGATACAAGGACCAACTGGGCCATTTGGGAAAGTTAAAGGATTATGATCACCCATTGCGATCGCTATAAATTGAAAATAAGATCTTAGAAAATTTATATTTAGAAAATTTATATTTAACAAAAAAAATATATATATATTATCGTGAAATAATTCGATGCGCGTTATTTCGCGAAAATATATAATCAAGCTTACCATTACACTTTAAATCCAAGTTATAACCCCATCCTAAAATCTGCAATTAAAAAAAAAAAAAGTAAACCATAAAAATATTTATTCAAAAATTTAACAATGAATAAATAAATAAATAAAAAAAAATAAAAGATTTTTTTTATGAATACTTACATCACCATTTCCACTAAACTTTTGACCCACTTGTGGGCTAACTTCAAGACCAAAATTTTTGGATCTGAGCAAAATTTCATTCGAACCAATAGTACCAGCAGCAAGAAAAACCATATCAGCAGTTACAAAATATAGAGAATTATGGTTTTCATCATTATATATCTCACGCTCCTCCTGTCAAAAAAAATTAACATAAGACGTTATAAATATAATAAAAAAAAAAAAAAAAAAAAGGCTCATAATAAAATATAATTACATCTAACCACTCGTAAAATATGACCCATTTTTCGCTTTCTTTATCTTTCTTAATCCTTTGAACATTAATCTGACAAAATATTTCACAACCATGATTCCAAGCATCAGAAACATAATTCATCAAAGTACTATTCTTACTACCATCATTAACACCAGTACAATCATTTCCAGTAAGCTTTGATTTTAATTGCCTAACACCAGCAGAATTAACACGATTTTCAAAGGTTACAGTAATTGGAGGACGATAAAAATTTTTTGCATATTCAGGACCAAGTTTTTTTGCTTGTTCCTCTAAAGTTTTAAGTTTATGAAGTTCTGGAAAGTTTTCAGGGTATGGCTCGGGTTGAAGCATTTCTCTTGCTCGTTTGTAGCCTATACATGTACACAATTATTTATTTATTTTTTTTTTTAACATATATTTTTTTGTTAAGAATTATTATATGTAAGATTAAATGATAAAGTGAACATGAGATATATTCATACCCAAAGCTATGCCTTCTTCTTTATCTTTATGAATTTCTTCAGGCCAAACAGGCATATCCCAAACACGTTTATCAGCTTCAAGAGCAACATTGGCATTTATAAGAGAAGTTCCTCCAAGACTAATTAATTATATATAATTCAAAATCAAAAAAAAACCAATTACACAATCAATGCATATAATTAATTACAAGATAAATAATAAATCTCGCAGCTTATAACGAAATCAGATTAAAAATGAAAATTAAGATTTCTACACATATTCTTCTATTGAAATCCTAACCCTAATTCTAATCCTAAATTCTTAATCTAAAGTCTAAAAATTTTACCACGATGTATAAATTTCAAATAATCAGATTTCATTAGGATGGGGAAATTTGAGTAAGTTTATTTTGGTTTAATTTAAATCTATATATGCAGATTCTGTATCAATCAAAACCAAATTAAACTTCCCAATGCTAATTAATTGATTAACATACCCACAACCTACGACAGCAGCTTGATCACCTCCATAATAGAAATGATACATTCCGGTTTTTTTGCCCGTATGGATTTCATTAATGCTACATTGAACTTCTTTAAAACAATCGACCAGTTTCGTAGGATATTCTCCTGGCCATCTTTCTTTTCCTAATTATATTTGTTTTTATTATTAGTTTAAGAATTTGCATAGTCATTTTTTCTTTAACATGTGACCGGAATTATCCAATGAAAAACATTCAATGTCTCACTCTCGTTATAGCGAATTCATAGAGAATTCATGAGAGAAAGAGTTGTAACGTGCGCTATGCATTAATATTTGTATATTTTGTGTGCGTACATAAAGTAAAATTTTAAATTAGGCGCTCTCTGCGCTACCTAATTTCAAATCTGAATTTTTTTTAGATTTATATTATAGTTCTTTCTTATTATATTATTATAATGATTCTCTCATACAATATTATAATTCTATTATAATCCCGTATTACCCACATTACAATTCACTCCCGTTATAGTGAATCCTTGACCAAGTCAGTCAGAATAAAATTCTCTCGAAATAGTGGGGTTTAAAAATTTTATTAATGGAACGGATCACTTCACTATTCACTATAATGAAAGTGAGTTGTATGATTCTCTCATATTGTAGTTATTATAAAATTCACACGTCAAAAAAAAAAAAAAAGCTTCATATTTCAAAAACAAAACAGAACAAACCTTTCTCTAATAACGCAACACGCTTTCCTGCTCTTGACATACGTGACGCAGCGATGCCACCTCCATATCCAGATCCGATAACAATCACATCATAATGTGGTTTCATATCGGGCACAGGTAATGATATGTGGGGATGCTCTGGGTATACATTCTCATTATTTACATTCTCATTATTTTCTGCACTCATCGTTTTTCAATTAAACTTATTCTGCTGATTTCGTTAGAATATTTGTAAAATGGAATCGAGTGAAAAATTGTATATACTAAAGAAATCTGTACGGATATTAATATTTTGGTTATGTTATTTAAAACGGGTTTAAAAGTATCCGACAATAAGTCTTGGTATGCAAGTAAAATTATCCGTTTTACTTAAAAAAATAATAAATTGGAGGGAATAATTTGAAATGCAAGATAATTAATTTTGATAAATTATTGATGTTTTAACTATTTTAAGATTATTTCATGACCCTTTAAAATAAATTGCTTTTTAGTATGCCATGTGGGTAATATCAAATTTCTTTCCTTTTGGAATTGATAGTTTTACGGATTTACGTTTTGTCGTCGTATTAACAATAAGCTAGTACACAAACAAAAACTCTTGTAACCCATGCGAAAAAAAAACTTATGGTCTCAATGAACTCATAATCATAATAAGCACAAAGAATTATTTTTAAAAACAAAGATTCAATAAAGCTTAATCGGATGGCTTTGCCATTTGCATATATCTTTAAAAATGACATGATCTATACCGGTACTAGTAAAATTTGGCCACCAACCCGGTCTGCATGAAATTATTATGGAATAAACATGTACATGTGCATAAAATACAAAACTGAAAATTTTAAGCAAGTTGAACGTTGCGCATGTAAACAATGTACTAAAATGGGATATTCACTCCGAATTAAATAAGTTTCCTTTACTTCTTTACTTCTTATTCTGGATATGCAAATCCTACTTTACTGGTTGATTGACATTGATGTGAATTTTTTTAATTGTCAACGGTTTTTTGTTCAATTGTCAACGACTTTTTGTTAATTAACGTTAAAAATGTCCCACTTCAAAATTACAGAATTAGCGGTGATATCTGATTGTCGCTATGACAATAGTTTGACAAACTTTACAATCACGTGATCGAAAAGCTGAAACACAGTGTTACAAATCTCGTTTCTATATTTGTGTACGTACGAAACTTTGTATAAATAAACGTACGTACGTACGTACGTACGTATACGGTGTTATGCCAGAAATGGGAAATGTATTGAAAATTTCCAATTTCTTAATCCAGTATTATGCTTTGGTCGATTGGAGCCACGAAATTAGGTTGATTGTTGGTTACTAACCAACGTAGAGAGTTAGTAACCACCTGTGAAAGTAACCAATGTAGAGTGTTAGTAACCAACCGAGAAAGTTTTTAACCAACAATATAAAGAAAAATATATCCGCAGTAATTCCCTGGCGCTAAAATGACAATACGGTAAGTCGAATTACACTTAGATTAGAAAATAATGCCCTGTAATAATTTACCTAAATAACGATAGTATAGAGTTAGTATTAGCTAGTACAATCATATCCGTGGTTCTACTTATATTAATAAAGACCCGATTTTCATAACGTCTCACCATAATATTATTATTAAAATACCCTTGTGAATTATAAATCAACCCTAAATAAAGAAAGAAATAAAGGAACGTTATCAATAGTCCTACGTATTAATCGTAAGACAATCCGCCAAAATTCACTTTCTTAGAACTTACATATTTGTAATTATCGGCGGAATAGTTGTACAAGTTGCTTATTTATATCCACCTGGTAGTTACAACGGCCGTACGGATGTTTGTTATTATCCTTAGTAAGCATCTATCTCATAATCAGAAAATACGTAACGATTTTTGATGTAAATCATCAGTAAGCATCAGTAAGCATGAAAGAAGATATCATTGAAGTTTACAGGTCAAAATCCTGACAAACAAAATCCTGACAGGTTATAATCCTGACATTAAAACAGAACCTGATTTTGTTTTAAGGATTTTTTATAACCTTTCAGGATTCTGTTTGTCAAGATTTTGACCTGTAATCATCATTGAAATATGCGATGGCGTCATCTTCAATGATTTTTCCCTAACGGGCTTAGGTCTGAATTACTAAGATTATTTTGAATTCTGGAAAACGGAAACTGGTTTAAGTTACACGAAATTCATTTTATTACACAAATATCTTCAATAACGAATTAACGATTAAGGAAAATTTTTAAATTAACTTCATAGCAAATCATTTTACGTATCCAAAATAATTAAAACAGAATTATTATATTACCTATAAGGTAGGTATGCCTAATTCGGTGCAGTTAACTATACGAATAGTGAATATTTATAGAATTTGTATAAAAATTTCAAGTTTTTTACTAAATTCGACACATTTCAACTTAAAATAAACTTTTATTTATAGAAAAAAAACTTAAAGTAAAAAAAAAAGCCGAACTTTATCTAAAAATGTATATGCTTCCGTAAATCGAGATTATCAAAAGATCGTCCTAAATCGGCGCACTGCAGTAAGAATAAAGTAATTTAAGATTTCTGCTTTTCAAGTTGTTTCAAGTCTTTAATATGTTGCTTTTTCGCCTTCGTACGTTCAAGTTCAGCTTTTTTTTGCTTTCGAGCTTCCTGTTTTTGTGCCTTCTCGGCTTCATGTGTCATTCACCTTTGGACAGCCAGCTCTTTTTTATGTTGCTTTTTGTTGGACACTTTTTCGGCCTCTTCTTCCACTTCTTTCAATTGTTGCAAGGACTCTTCATTTGTAAGAAGCTGAGAGAAGAGTAGGGTTTTTCTTTTTTTTCTTTTTGGCGGCATTGTCTTAGATCATTCTTCAACTTTCAGATCTTTAGTTGGTTGCGAATTATGGCACAAGAGATATTTAAGTACCAACTTCAAAGAACTTGTATCAGATTTTTAAAGGTTTCAAGTTAGTGGAAATAACATAATTATGTTATTTCCACTTAATCTAGGTTATGTCTGACGACGGGATCATATGCCTGTCGTC